AGCATATGTACTACCCCAAATTTTGATTAGTAATCAAAATGTAAATTTTAAAAGTTTAATGCCAAAGTATAAAGTTTAGAGACCAAAAGGGTAATTTTTAAAAGTTTAGGGACCAAAAGTGTATTCAAATGTTAGGTGCTTTGACCCCAAAAATGAATAGTTAACCCTCGAGAATGATGTTTTGGTGAGAATTAGATTGTTGATCCAGATTTTTTGTTAAAAGCTATAAAGTGTTAAAGTCCAATGAAAATTCGGCAAACTAGATCGAATAGAAAATTGAGAAAATTTGAAGGATATTAAATTAAGCTTAGAAATATTATTTCCACATTTTAAAATGATGGAAAATAATATAGAGCATTGGATTTGTAATTTCATGATCAATTTGGATCATTGGATGAAAATGATAAGATTGAAATTTTTGGAAAAATGCTTGGGTAAAGTGAAAAAGGGTAAATTAATTTGTTTATATTTGACTTTGGAAGATGATAATCAACATGTGGCTTGGTAAGGGTGTAATTATCAAGTTTCGTTAATGGTAAATTTGTCATTTCCCATTAAATGAATTTTAAATTCATTTAAGCTTAATAAATGGCAAATGTACGTGAAATTAACTAAAAATTTCATAACATTTCTTCTTTAAAATCAGCCATGGACATGAGCTTCACAAGGTATGGAGAAAAAAATTATTCTCATTTTGAGCAATTTCGTTAGGTTTTTGGATTAAAGCGTGAAATAGAAAATTGTTCTATTCGAAGAGCTCTATCATTTGGTACCATTTTTGCATGCTAATCTTACTTGAGAACTTAGATCGCAAATTTTAGAGTTTATAAACATGTTAGGGTTTTATGAATTGATGATGGATTTTGAGGTTATTGATGTTGTAGAGTCATTTCCAAGCTTGATTGATGTTTAAAATCACCTATAAATGCTTCTATTGGTTTCGGCCTAAACCCTAAGTTTGGGGAAGTGTGTGTTTTTGATGAAATTTGGTTAGGGTTTAATTGTAGAGACTTGGAAATGTTTATTAGAGGTTGATTTCATGCTCAACTCAATTGAAATCAAGGGAAAATCATGGAACCCTAGCCCTAAAGCATTTGACCATGATGTTTAAGGATGAGAAAAATTATGGAAAAATTATGTAAGGGTTGGAAATGATATAGGAAGGATTCTACAAACCTTAAAAAGTTATAGAGACCCTTTTGTAATTTTGTGAAAGATGGGAGACTTATTTGAGTATTATGGAAAATTATGGGATCAATGTGTAATTGTTCAATAGTTGATGGACTATGCTGGAAATTAATGTTAGAGTGTTGAAATCGATGTTAGAATGTGAAATTGGGCCATTTTGGAAAGTTGGTAAAAATTGAAGTTCAAATCACAAATATGGAAAAGTTAGAAACTTAATTGAAAATGTTATGTGAAGTTTGGATAAAAAGAAACTTGAATGGTCAATTGGAAATGATAAGGTCAGCAATTTATGTTGTGACATGGAATTTGTATCGAATGAGCATCGGAAGATTTTTAGGAATTTATTTTCTATTGAGTGCCTATGTTAGTAAGATTCTAACATGTGCTTTGAATTGCATATGTTTTGTAATGATGCTCATTTAGATTGTGTGGCTTGAAAATCAAGATCAAACAATATTAAAGCTAAGGAGAAGCTTAAGGATGAAATGGGAATTTCTAATGAAGGTTACAAGCTAAGGACACCAAGTGAGTGCATATTTAATTTGTACTTATGTTATCGAATAAACATTGGCTTGAGATGAGCCAGTGGCTTGAGATGAGCCAGTGACGTAGTTTCTATGGTAAGAAGTGACTCCTAATATTGCGTGACTTTGTGATTTATGCATATAAGTGCATTTGGTGAGCTAATAGAATTAGTGAAATAAGCTGAAAATGCAAATTGGTGAAATCTGCGTAGATTTGTGATATGAACAATAAGTTTAGAAAATCACCATAAATTCTATAGAAATAATTAGAAGATGATTTTTATACCATTGGATTTTTATACTAGTATTATTTCATTTAAAACAAACGACTACTGATTTTGAGGAGTATACAAAAAGATATGAATTTTTAATCAATAATAGGTCAGCAGATTTTGCTAAAAAATAGCTTCTGTAAGTCAACTTTAAAAGTTCACTATAAATTGTACAAATTGAACTAGAAGAAGTGCCTTATATGGTTAAATTTGTATTTGAGTCTAGTTTCCAGTGGTATAAACGAAATAATTTTAAGTGTGTAGATTAATACATAATAATACTTCTTTGAAGGTAATGCAAACTACCAAAGTATGATATTACGATAAATTTCGTAATTGAAGCAATTGAAAGCAAAAGATTAAACCTAAAGCTTATCGTGGCTTATATTTTGACTTAAAATAAAGTTTCAAAGTGAGTGTATTTATTTATTTATTTATATTGATCTAGGAAGAGTCTGAATCAAATTATGGAATATTTTTATAATGGTTACTAAAATAATTTAGGATATTTTGGGTATGAATTACCCAATATGTTTTTATATGATATTTTATGAAAATATATTTCGGGTATGAATTGCCCAATGCACTAGTTTTGATAAATGATGTTTGAAAATGATAATGTTTGGAAATGTTGGGTTTATAAATGATTTGAATCTAAAGTAAAGCCATTGCATATTGCATTGAGAGTCGTAGGTACAATTGGCATTCCATGAGGTGGAGTGATTCTGATTCTGATATGGTACATTCATGAACATTATGTGTAGCACTATTGATGCAAATGATATGATTGCACTTGGAGTGCATATTTTTTATTCTAATGATAGCACCGTGAAGTGCTTATTATGCATACTCCTTTGACTCACCTACCTTGCATTCTCATAAATATACATTAGGCTATGGATCTGAAATAAATTATGAATTTAGAAAAATTTTGAATCTGAAAATGAAAGTTCTAAAATGTATTTGAATGAAAAGAATATGACACGGTTGTTATGTCTAATACTGATTATCATGGTTTTGAGAAAATCATGAGACGATGAATTTTCAGGTTTCTAATGAGGAGAAATGGTTCGAATAAATCGATATGGATATTTAATGATGTTATTTGAATTTAAGTTTGATGTTTAGATTGCTATGATATTTTTAAGTTTAATATACTGTTTGATTCTATTAAGTCATGTTATATTTTATATCACCTTAGTTGTTTATAATGCCTCACTAAGTATATACATAGCATGTGATGATTTTCACATGAAGGTAATGAAGAGCAAGTGAAGTAAGGAGAGGAGCTTGGCATCAGTCAATAAAGAATAATTACATGTATCAGTAATGACGTCCTACTCTTTTAAATTTTCTAGATGACATGCATACGAATAAGAAATGTCTGAGATATATTATTATAAATATAAATAAGAATCTAAGTTTTGTGTTTTAGATAAAAGTTATATTTTATTAGAATAAATAAATATTTTAAGTTAGACAATTATTAGGCAGTTTACTTTATGATAGGAAACAAATATAAAATTGTCTAGTAGCTGCTTGAAAATGATATTGTTTTAGATGTTTAAATATTATATGTTTTTACGTGATTATATTATTATATTGGAAGGATTAAATTAGATAAGTTTTAAAAGTTCAATTTTATACTAGTTTTTAACTATAATATGTTTGCAAATGCTATGTGACATATTTTACTCATATTCAGGTACATATACGGGAAACATGAAATTAATTTCAGGTGGGTATTGTGCTAGATGTCCAACAAAACTAACATAAAGTCAAAAAATGGGAAATATTGACTTTTTTTTAAAAAAAAGAGAAAAAAATAGGAACTTTGTTAAAGGATGTAACACAAAGTTCCTTGCTTGCCAAGGTAATTAATTTTTTGTTAAGAGTATTGTGAAATATCAAAGGGAAGAAGAGAAAGGTGATTCTTTTAAGGGAGAAGTATAAAATCTTTAATGACGGTATTAAATGCTTGTTTGAGGTGAGTACATTAAACTTATGTTCTTCAATTATGATTATGAAGGTTGAATTAAATGATTAACTAAGGTGAGGTTATATTTTGTTCATGGGTGTTAAAGATTTTATATGAGTAAATGATGGTGAAAGGATGATTGAGAAGTGTAATGAAAGCCATATAATGTGTGAAAAGTGTTACAAATATGTTTGATCTTATTGACTGCAATTAAAAGGTGTTTAAAGGTGATTGGAGTGCATTAGGAAGACAAAATAGGGTAATCTGCGACAGAGGTTCCAAAACCACTAGACTTCCTCTAGTAGTTTCGAAACCTTTAACCAACCATAGACCCATAATATGATCATAAATGAGATCAAATATTTGTAAAACACTAGAATAATGTTAAGAAAGGCCTAAAAATGTAAAATAAATGTTTGAAGACACCGATAAATGATTAAATACTCTTTCATAAGCATTAATAAGCCTAATACGTTTGTAAGTGTGATAAATTACTGAAATACCCACTAGAGGCTCAAAATTATCAAATTATCCTTGTAGGCTTAAGTGAGCAGAATAAATTCTACTAAGGGAAGATATTAAGTTATCTTAAGTGTGCAAAGACATAAGTATTCATGTGTGTAAGGAAGTGATTAAAATGCCCTTTAGGGCCAAATAACCAAACTACCTTTATGTGGTAAACTACTTAATTGTGCTTAGAGACTAAATGATTAATTAATAACATTGTGATAAGAATAATAAAGTTTGTAAACAAGTGAATCTCTAAATTACCCTTGTGACTATAAATGGCTAAAAGACCCGTCAGAGGTGAAAAATGACCCAAAGCGCCCTTATACACTAAGATGAACAAAACAAAGTGGTTTAATGAGAAGATAAACGGGAAATGACTAATAATACCCAAGTATGATTAAAAATGACTACAAAATTCGTTTGAGTGGTAAGAGCTTAAAATACATTCAATTAGGGAATGTTACAAAAATGCCCTTATGGATGGTAAATGAATTTATAAGACTTACGAATGCATAAATATGCGCTATAATGCATTATATGTTCATGATGACTTGTGAGGCTCATGGTAAGCCATCTCGCAGATGTGATCCCTATTTGGATAAGGTAAGATTATTCATACCTTTGTGTAATATTATGATATTGTGTATCATGTGTATCAATACATTGTGATATAAATAGCTAATGTAATTTTTAAGAGCATTAGGGGTATAGTCGGCATGCCATAGAGTCTATCAGCAACATTCCATCACTCCAGTGCATTCTGTAGCGCTTAGGTGCATTGTGGCACTTCGATGCATTGTGTAGCACTTCAATGCATTATGAGCATTCGTGTCATTTCATTAACTCATGTATCCTAAGCTAACTCTTCTATGTTACTTTGGGCACTCTTGTAATTATGATTTAATATTGTGTAATCATGAAAGGACTTTTATTATAGCATGCGCATGATTTATACATGTGGTCCGACCTTAACCATGTGATTCCTATATTTATGATAAAAGCATGGTTTAATTATCGTACTTGAGGAAAATACTTACGATTATGAATAAATGTGCCTTTTAGACCGAGAGAGAGGATTATAACACTTGCGCATAATGAATCTAGGAAGACTCCTAGCATGATTGTGGTGAATCAGAATAAAAAATTACGATATTAAAATTGGAAGATTTATGGCTATAAGTTCATAAGTGGCTAATATTCTTATCTTTATGAGACTTATGAAATGGAGTGGAATAGATGTGTACTCACTGGGTTTAACGGTTCACCCTTTTATTTATTATATTTGTAGGCTAAGGATTCGTGGATCATGATGAGACAACGATATTGTCGGAGGGTTCTCAATGTGAGTATCATATTACAACGATGAGGATTATTTGAGTCTGTTGCAAATTATTTATTTTCTTATTTTGGTTTTCAAATAAATGAGATACGTCTTTTGTGAATGTTTTATATTCATGTACCTTGTATTATTGTTCTTAAATTTTTTAGGTAAGTCGTATATTCTTAATTGTGATTTGTGGGATCACTTTGTTGGTTCAATGTGATATCTTTAATTCGGTTTAAAATTTCGGGCTGGATTGAGGGTGTTACATGCTTTGTTGAGGTCCGTGAAATCAATGCACATCCTCCGATTTTCATTTGCTTCCTTAACCATGCCAACATTGGAGATCCATTTCAGGTATAATACTTCCTTGATGAAACATGTCGCTAAGAGTTTTTTCGTTTCCTGCCTGGCGCTTTGGATTTTATCTGTGGCTAGTCTCCGTTTCTATGCATGTACCCGAATTAGTATAAATACATGTTACTCTATCTATAAAAATGAAACCAAGTTCTAATGTAACTTGTATAATAACATTATTAGTCCAAAAAACTTATATATTCTATCAAACAATTAAAAAATTTAACCATTAATATTTAAAATATTTCTTCTATTTAATATTTTGTATGATATTGTCAACCAAGCAAGTTTATCATAGCACAACAGTAGTTGGATAATTGTATTCTGACATAAGTAGGAACAAGTTAGTATTAAGCTATTATTATACCAATAAATGAATATAAAATTTTTGGGAGAACATGCAGTTTGGAAGAATAGAAAATAGACTAAAATGTTATAATTTTTAAATACAAATGGTCAAATTTATATTTTGGATTAAGATCAAATGGTTAGACTATGTAAGTTTTGAGGAGTAAAATTGTTATTATATCTTGTCACTATGTTTACTATTTAATGGCCAATGACCTGTTTGTAAAAAAATTAATTGAGTTCCCCTATTTATAATTTTTTTGAAAAAAGTGATCCATTTATTACTAAATACATAGTTGAGTGACAATGGATGTATTTTACCCTTGACTAAAAAACAGTTTAGGCCACCAAATTTTATCTTGAATCCATATTCAGGCACCAAAATATATATTTAACCTTTTCCAGATTTGCGAATGCAAAATAATGAATCTTTATTCTTATTTCATCAAGCGATTCCAAGTTGAAATTTGAGGAATGGGGAAGTGGTCAAAACGGGTCGTTTTCTTGTTTTTCTTTGCTTATCAATTTGTCTGCAAATCCCATTGGGTTCTTCCTTTACTCCCCCTCTTCAAGGAAATCAGGTATGAGATCTTTTCTTTGTAATTTTTGTCCTTTAATTCACCATATTTATTTATTTCAATGCAAGCCCATATTGCAACTGATAAAAATTGTATGATTGACTTCCTGAAAGTTGAATTTTTGTCTATTTCTGGATTTGGGCAATCTCAAGTCTGTATCTTTAACTTTAGTTTCACTAAAAAGATTAGGTTTTTTTGGACTTCTTTTGGTATTCATTATCATTTTGTTTCTTGTTGTCCAATTGTAATAATTTTATGGCGTTTTGCCATCATGACCACTCAATTTTGAAGCCTTTGAGTTTATTGTTTGTCCAGGATAACAAAGAATCTTCAGCTGCAAGGTAATTCTATGTGCTTTGGTATTGACTACATGGTAGCTATATTTTGTGGCATTTCTTTATGCGCAACATCAAATGGCTTGATCGACTACTGTGAAACTTAGTTGCCTATTGATTTTAAGAGAGATAATTGTAATGTTTTCTTGATTTCCCCCTTTATATGCATAACTGATATGAATGTGAAACTGCGGATTTGATTTGTAGAACCTTTAAGCAAGAGGATGATGCTCATGTAGTGCATTGTTCTAGAGAAAGGAGTAGAGCGGCATGGAAAGTAATCCAAGAGGTATTGCACGGGTGGAGTTCAAACTTTTAAGACGCTATCATCTGCAATATTTCACTTTTGATTTTGTCGCTAAAGTTAGTAACCCTTCATGTTTAATTCAGTATTTGATGCCCTCTGTGGAGCAAGAACGATACAAGATTTCAAGTGGATGTAGACTTCACCCTGACAATGATTTGTACAGAGATCAGGAACAGCACAAGCACCATGTAGATATAAATGAATGGCGATGCAGGTACTGTAGAAAGAATTTCTATGAAGAGAAGTATCTGGATAAGCATTTTGACAACAGACATTTTGATTTGCTGAATGCAGTAGGTGGACTATTACACGATAGATTAATTTCCGTTTCCTTGTTTAAGTTTTAATAAATGTAACTCCCTTTGTATCGTCATGATTGTGCTGAAATCAGAGTCATGGTCGGTGTCTGGCTGATCTGTGTGGCGCATTACATTGTGACCTTGTCATGGATTCTTCGCCCCACAAGACTAAGTGTAATCCTGCTGCTGCAAGGAATAAACATCTTTGTGAGGTACCCTTGAAATGATTTTTCAGGCTAATATATATTCTGGTGTTCTTTATATTGTTCCTCGGCTCTTCTCTGCAGAGTCTTGCTGATGGCTGTTTCCCGATCAGCAATGCTGTATCGAGCCGTCTTCATGGTATTTATTCTTTCCCACTTTAACTGCTATTTGTTTACTGCATTTACATATTTTACAAACCCGTAACACCACTTTCTTTCCTGATGTTGCTGAATCAATAGAATTCTTCTTGCGACAGTTCTGTGATGCCCACACTTGCAGTGGAAGTCCAAAACCCTTTTCTAAAGGGCGAAAGGTAGAATTCGCTGTTAACTTAAATTGTTGGATTTATTCCCTACGCATGATGCTCATACACACATTATCGAACAACTAACCATAAAGTCCAAGTCCGCTTATATATCCTTTTATGGGAAAAAAAGCTTATATAAATATATCATTTATGTCTTCTTTTTACCTTATTGTGTATAGAAATGCTTATGCATTTAATTCTTTAAATGCATATATTTTAATAGGTCACCCTATTTTATTTGTGCAGAAGCGAAGAAGTATACATTACATAATTTTATCGATTTTGACGTTGATGCTGCTGCCGCTTTTCTACTTCTTCATTTACATGTACCAAAGGTAAGTATTTTGAACACTTACTTTATTGGCATCATCTTGTTGAGTTTCAGAGGCCATTGCAATGTGCAATATTCATGTTGCAGGGGAATTAAAAGAGGGTCACAAGAACTGAAACGCATCTCACTAAGCAGACGAAAGAAAAAGTCTGGGTAGACCTGCAAGGTTTCACCAATCATTATGAGGGTTTTAGTCTATAAACTTGGGCTTTAATACTTGAAGATCGAGACTTGAAAGTTTCGCCATTTATTTTTACTTTATCAAGTTTTATTGGAACAGTCCTGCATTACCTACATTCATTGATGTTGCTGTACATGTATTTTAATCATGCAAATATGGAGACAATGCAAACCACCATTAATCATGTCAATATTTTGATCAGAATAGGATACTAGTGAACATGTCATGTTAACTGTGTTTCCAATGGATTTTGTCAATTTAGTTGCATTGGTTGTGCTTATTTGAAAACATTGTTTTCCTTGTGTATTTCGGTATTCTGTCCAAAACTACAGAATCTATACAGTACTAGCTCTCCTACTTTGTTTGGGCATGACAAGTGTGGAAATTCATAAGTTAATGTGCCACATAAAAGGCCATGGGTAAGGCATTCTGTAACATGGGTTTTGGTAGTTTCTTGTGTGGTGTGGCTATGGGCAGGGATGGATCAAAAGGGGGCACGAGGGGGCGGCCGCTCATGAAAATTTCAAAGTCCTAAAACTTTTAAATATTTCTGTTTCATTCCCAAACTATGACCTTCATTCTAAATTAGTCCCCAAAATTTTTTAACATTCCAATTGCATCCTGAATTAGCACATCCTTTGCTAATAAAATCGACAGGTCAAGTTATTTTATTATATGATTAAAAAAGACAATTTTGATTAAATTATGGTTGAAATTAATTATATATTTGGATGAATTTGGGGATGAAATTGGAATATCCAAAAGTTTTGAGGATTAATTTAGAAAAAGGGTTATACTTTAGGGATGAAATTCAAATATTCAAAAGTTTAAGAACTAATTTAGAATGAGTCATAGTTTAAGGATGAAATTGAAATATTTAAAAGTTTAGAGATCAATTTAAAATGAAAATATAATTTGGAGACAAGTGATGCAATTAACTCATTCAAATTTTATAAATTCACTCTTCTAACTTAAAATCTTGCGTCCATAGTGTTAGCAATAAATGCAAGGTTTCACAATTTTTATACTTTTTTTCTCTTCGCAATAGCTCGAGATTTAATTCAATAGAGATGATAAATTTATCACTTATAAATTTAATACAATCATGTACATTTCAATGACATCAAATCATATCAATACTATGAATAATATATAACAATATAACATAGGAAGATCTTTTGTTCGCACCAAATACAAAAAATGAACTCATAGCCCAATCGAAAAAATTCATTTCCTTTATTTATATATTTTTTCAATCTTTCTTTTCGGTAATCTATCGTCTTTCTTATACAATCATCTGATGATGTATCATCTGATGATGTATCATCTGATTGCTTTTTCACTTTCACCGTTTACGAATAGTTTACAAATAAACTTCACCAAAAAGATAAAAAGGAAAAAATATTGTTGGGATTGAAATTCTATCATTTGCATCCCATTCCATTGACATGTGAAGGAAGTGACAAAGGGCTCCTCGGCAGCTTCTGATTTGTTGAGAATTGGTTTTATATACGATGGATGTGTTTGTAATATTATTTTGTAGTGAAAACTGAAATAATATCAGTTTCGATACATACAACTTAACCCATCAATCTACAACACTCCCCCGTGACCTAATTTCCTCCCTCTCTCAATTAGTGGTCTACAATTTGCAAACTAATTTTTAGGGTGAGAAAATTGAATTGATTTGAAAATTTGATATTTTCGATTCGTTTAAGAATATTCGATTTGAATTAATTCAACTCGTAATTTTATAAACTTGATTCAATTAAAAAAAATTAAATTCAAGTCGAGTTCTAAATTAAAACACAAATAACTCAAAATTTTCATTAATTGATGGATTGGTTTTTTAATATATTTCAGTCATATTATGTATATGTTTATAGAAAATCGTTTAAATTAGAATGAAATAATATCGTAATATTATAAATATTTATAATTAAATTTAAACAAAATTTTGAACAATTTAAAATTTTTTGACTCGACTCGATCGAAGGCTCACCCCTACTCATTCCTCACTAAAAAAATTTGATACATTTCGTATAGGAGGTGATGCAAAGTGCAAACGTTATTGTAGATATTTTTAATGTTTTTTCTTTTTAAGCAGAACATTTGTAGTGAAAACAACGAAAATAACTTTTTATTATCATTTTACAGTGTTCATATATTTTGTTTTTCAAAAATTAATTTTAAATTTTCCATCAAACATGTTTTCTTAGTGTTCTTCATTCTCTTTTCCACGAGAAAATGAAGATTTTTCAATTTCTTAGTAATGTTCAAAGAAAAATGGAAATGAAAACAGTATGGCAATACGGGATGTCTCAGAAAAGGCGGATTAATATACGGCTAAGAAATGGCGTGACCGGAAATTTAATAAGATACTTAACAAAGTCGGTTTAGCGCTACTAGAAATGTTGAGTAATAATAATGTTATAGGTGGAAAACTTGAAGAAATATAAAAAAATTAGCAACGAACAAACTTAGTTTATCGGTAGGTATCGATACCCTACATAAAAGTATCGATATATATAGTAATATATAAGAAAGTGATGAAAACCGGTTAAAAGCAGACATGTATCGATACCTTTATAAGTATATATATAAAAGTATCGGTGCTTTAGTGATTCAAAAGAATTACAATAAAAGTGCCTATAAAGTATCGATACCTTACACACATGTATCTATACATGAGAATATAACAGGTTAAAATTTGACAAATCCGGTTTCAATTTGACAAATCAAGTAACGAATTTGAAAAAACCGATTGGAAATTGACAAAACCGGTTGAAATTTTGACAAAATCGGTTGACATTTCAGAAATCGATAAAGAGATAATGGAATTGTTAAAATTTGTATCTATACATTTATATGTACCGAAGTATCGATACTGTAAGAATTTAAAAGAAATGAAAAAAGAAAAATGTCTTGAAAGTATTGATATTTTACACACATGTATCGATACATGACAATATAACAGGTTAAAATTTGACAAAACCGGTTTCAGTTTGACAAAACCGGTAAAGAGATACCGAAATGGTTGAAAATTGTATCGATACTTTTATAAGTATATGCACCAAAGTATCGGTACTTTAGGAATTTAGCAAAAATAGCACCTATAAAGTATCGATACCTTAGACACATATATCAATACATGACAATATAACAAGTTGAAATTTGACAAAACCGGTTTCAATATGACAAAACCGATAAAGTATTACCGGATATGATGACGGTATCGATACTTTTATAAGTATATGCATCATAGTATCGGTATTTTAGGAATTGAAAAGAAATGAAAAAAATGAAAACGTATCGAAAGTATCAATACCTCACACAAAAGTATCGAGACTTGGGTAATGGTATCGATTAAATATAAATAACATAACCAGTTAAAATATCAAAGACATTGCTACCAGAGAAATAGATAGAAGACGGCCGTAGTTTTTGAAATCGAAGTGTATTAGTTGCTTCGAAATAGAAGCAAAGCGTTTTTGAAAGCGTAGCTGTTTGTTGCTGCAATAGAAATGAAAGGTATGTTGTCGAAACCCTAGTTTTTTAGTATTACAGTATTTGAAAATAGGGATTAGGTTTATGGGTTTGGGGTTTTCTAAGTAAATAAGGATTTGAGACCTATTATAGGTAGAAAATGATATTCTAGGTAGAAAATAAATATTGATACTTTTATATAATATTATAGGTAGAAAATGATATTGTATGTTGTATAAAGGTACCGATACTTGTAGTAGAGAATATTTCCATTCCTTGAAGGAAACCCGTTTACTCTAGGATTAGTTATCGATACTTGTATATTGAATAAACTGTATGTAAATTGTATTTGATTTGATTTGAGTTAATTTAATGTTTGAATGTTCATAAACTGATATATGAAGGAAAAATGAAGTTAATGGATCTTGCAATTGTTGTTTGCGAAGATGACATTGAAATGGAGCCCGAGAGTATCAACAATGAAGTAATTCGAAATTAACCACTGGGTGGATATATGTACTTCTAGTAAATATCAATGTATTTGTGTAATTGTTGTTGAAATGGTAATTGTATTAAAGTATTTAAGAACTTTAAATTGATTACAAATTTTAAATCTTGACAGTATGACTGAATGCCAAAGGATGAAGGAAGCTGGTAATTACAATATCGGTTCAATATGTAAACTGAAATTGACATTTAGTATTATTTAGCGATAATTTATTGATTAAGAAACATTTATGCTTAATTTTAGGTGAAACATGAGGTGTTGGAGAAGTGAAATTCGATGAATGATGCTGAGAAGGAACCGTATGTGACACTATCCAAAAAGGATAGACAACAATATAAAGCTTGGAGGAAAGTACATGAAAAGAAGGTATTCATTAAACTTGTAAATACTGTGATAAACGGTATATAAAAACACTAACAGTATATATTTTTTTAAAAATATAGGAAGTGTTGACAAGGTGTAGCATCAAAAGAGTGAACTACATAATTGATTTAAAGCCTAAGGTGACATATGCTGGACTTGAGGAAGAAATTAAAAGCAGAGCTTATGACGGGGATAACCTAAAGGCACGAATATTATTGTACCTTGTCGGAATATTTCTTTCTCTGATGGGTGATACATCTCCGAGCAAGGACAATATCAAGTTGATTTGTGATGAAGGGTTGAAAGGTGAATTGAATTGGGCTGAATATGTCTATGACAGATTGACTGAATCAATAATTAGCTTTCAGAAGGGCCAAAGCCAAACATACCTCAAACGGTGCATAACAATTTTAGTATTAAATGAGTTAAAGGATGTGTTGGGTTAGAAAACTTTTAAGTATAATTATTATAGAAAATGATAATGCAGGTTGTATTGTTTGATTTTTGGTCTGATTGTGCAAGTGTACTGACATTCCAAAGAACCGGAGTGGCACACATCCCTGTATGGGGGAAGGAAGAAGTAGTTCGAGTGATGGAAAAATTAAAGTTAGAAAGACTGAGCAAGTAAGAAAGGGTAATAAAAGTAATTATATAATATTAAGAAAATAAAAAATGAATTCATATTGTAATTTAATTTTGAAGGTTATTGGAAAAGAGATAGAGGAAGAAGGATGAAGAAGAGAAGGAAGAAAACAAGGTAGAAGAAAAAGTAGTAAGGGGATTATGGTTAGGGTAGTTCAAGTAAATTTGACATTTGATGTCTAAGTTGGTGGAGCTAAAAAAGCCGATTCTAATTGTTTACAAAGACAATCCAGAATCGAA